ACTCTGCTCCTCTGGAACAAAGGAACTTTCCATCAGGAGGGTAAAGCTCAATTATATAGGAAACAGAGCTTTCTTGGGAGGCTGGTACACACTATTCTCCCTCTGGAGAATTAAAGAGACAGAGAACAAACCACACATGACAGACACAGTATTGGAAGGCACTCTCATAGACCGGACCTAGATAGCCTCTATTCACTCCTGGGCCTCTTTACTGAGTCTGTCAACACAGAGACCAACTCTGACTCTTCTTTGTGGTGTTGACACCTGTCTATTAGAAACCCATTTCCTCTTGCTTGCCAGTCTTTGAAAAGTGGACCAAGGGCACAGGTAGTTTTTTCCATGCATCATGTAAGTCAATTATCTCAGATAGTGTAAATATTTTTGATATGAAGTAAAACTGAAAATGCATCTGGAACAGGGAACACTGCCTATTTTTTGTGTTAAAACATGGAATAAGATGTTCACTTTGCTAGCACCAAGCTCCCTTTCAAACTGCTGAAACCTTTAAATTGTTCTGAGGGCTGTATTTACCTGTTCTGCACCATGCTCATTGCCATCCAGTCCGAAGGGTAAACGTTCTTTCCTATGAGATCTTTAAACATGATGAATGTTTCCATCAAAAAGTCCTAGAACAATAAAACACAATACAACTATGATTTTATATCCTGCAAACTTCATATTCCAAAGCCAACTCTCTGCTCTGTGGAAAGCACCAAAGGAGAGGGCTCCATCCTACTCCCACTGAAGTGAATGGCAAAGCTACCAATGACATTAATGGCAGTGGAATTGGGACCAAAATCAAGTAAAATAGCAGTTGTAGGCTAGAAATAAAAGTTAAAGGCACGTTACACTGAACTTTTGAGCAATGATAAGCCATAGATGAATGGACAGAAAAACAATTCACAGTAAACAGCATATTAATTTAGGTACTTGGGAGTAGAATTGTTGAAGAACTGTATACCATTTAGAAGAGTCATCTCTTGGAAAAATTGATTTTTTTTTAAATTTAGCTTTTTCAAAATACATATTTCTAAAGATAGAGTGCAAGTTATATCCAGAAATTATTCATATAAACTTATAACATGCAACCATTCATACAAAAAACAAAACCAATTCTCTTTTCTAAAGAACACTTATCAAAGAGACAGAGATTATTGGAAAATAATTATTAACACAATTATTTTATCATTAAGTGTTTGATATATGGAGGTTTACCCCTCCCCCCAACGTTTCTGTAATGAGCTTTAAGAGGCAGCTGCTGAATTGTGAAGCCAATCACTCAAAGGGCCATCAACTCCCATTGATTCCACATAAGTGACACTCACCAGAAGAACTGGCTCTTTCTTAACAGTCAAATTGGTTAAGGGTAACCAATTGAACAATGTCTCTGAACAGCATAATATGGAAACAATTTTTTATTATCTCCATTGTCAGGACATTAGTTTTATGCTATTGAGAAAAAATGAAGTGTTAACAAATCAATATATTTAAAAAGCAGAAAAAAATAAGCATACTGACATCATTTTTTTTTA